GTATTCTTGTCGAATATAAATCCAACTATAACTATGAAATACCGCATTATAATAACTATGAAATACTCTATTTTCACAAATTGCACTTTGTTAGAAGGTTGGATGTTCACTTGAATCATTTGCTTATTTTTGTTTTAGAAACTTGACAATTTATTCATTGTTTCTCTTTCGGTAACTATAGGTTCTCGATTTGTACGTTTGGCTGAGTTTTCACCTGGAAGACAGCTTTCCCGATCGAGAACTGGCAGCATCACAAAAGGCTATTTGCAGCATGTGAGTGTGTGTGTTCATAGTCTTTCAATTATAATTGTGGCATTCAATACATAAGTCTAACTTTATTTTTTCCCTTTTGTTTTTGTGTAGGATAATTGAGGAATTTTTGGGAAGAGATGGTTGCCAGAAGCCGAACTACCGTAGTCCTTTGAAATCTCTGGCTGGATGAACTCCTGGGATATATGAAATGTTAACCTTTTTTTTTTAATTATAAATTAGATCAATTTTACAATAAGCATTTTGCAATTTATGAAAATGAAATTGCGTAGGTTAGAGTCGGGTATTCAGCGGTGTTTATAAATATTGTACATTACAATTACAATTCATGAATTATGAGAACTGATGGCTTGTGCGCATATGACGTGGGAATGGAATGATCATTCCTTACTCATTCTTATTTCATGATTGGTATATTTTTTTTTTTTTATTAACTAGAGTTAATTTTGAAAAAAATTGTATGGTTAACTGTTAGTGGAATTTTGATTTTATATTAAAATAATTAAAATTAATTTGATGTAAAAGTTGGAGAGATGGTGTGAAGTGATGATTAGTTAAAATTATGCGAATAGATGAATAGTAAATTAAAGTTGACGTGATGTACGAATGATTGGTTGATATTATTTAATTATATTGATAATATTGAGAATAGTGGAGTTGAGTTATGATTGATTGATATTATTTAATTATATTGATAATATTCAGAATAATGGAGTTGAGTTAAATGAGAGTTAGAGTTTGAGTGCAATTTGAGTATGGATTAAATTTTTTAATATACAATATATTGGACAAAAGTTGAAAGACCGTGATTAAATAGTAACACATGCAACATCATTTGATTGTTGTTAGATATGTAAGCACATTCGACCGATATTTGAATTTGATGCATCGTTATGCAATACAGAGGGGAAAAAATGTCGTGATTAAATTTTAGTTAAATTCTTTGATCTTCCACTAGCACATGGTTGTTTCTCATTATTTTTAAACTCCATTATAATTTTGTTGCGTTTGGTTGTACATTAAAGTACCAGTGACTAGTATCTAGATGTATGCTTGACGGAAGAACTAAAACCAATGTACTAAAAGTTGTACTAAGCGTCCTCCTAGGTGGCACCCCACCTAATCTTTTTCAACCTTCTAGACGCTCGGGCAATTAATCGGCACATAGGTGGACTAGGCGGAGCCTAAGCAGTCCCAGAAGTTGCGAAGTTAGTCAGATCTTGACTAATTAAGCGGTTCAGATGGCGACCTAGACGATCTAAGTGCTGTTTGAGCTAGGGGTGTTCACGGTCCGGATTGGTCCGGTTTTAGTCCAAACCATGACCAAACCGGATCTAACGGTTAATTTTTTTTCTTGTCCATAATCGGACTGGTTTTATTTTTTAACCGACCACAATCCGGACCACATTGGACGGTCCGGTTTGGCGGTTAACCGGTTAAATCCAAAATCCTTGTTTTGGGCCTTTAATTTTTATTTTTTTCATTTTGGGTTTAGTTTTTATTTTTCAATTTTGTGTCCAAAAGAGATTATTTGGGCCTAAAAATTAAGAAAAACAACAATAATGAAATAAAAAAATATACAATTCGTCCCATAAGCATAAAAATACACATTTCGTCCCACAAACATAAAAATACAAAAATGATGAAGATTAAATTATTCAAATTGAACCCAAGCAAGCATTCATATTTCAGTCAGTTTATACACCTGGAATAATAAGAACAAAGCATTCATAGTTAATGTATTGTATTTGTCGGCCATAGTTAATGACTTAATGTGTATATATATATATATATTTGTTATAGTTTTTTAATATTTACCGGTCCGGTCCGGTTAAACCGGCGGTTTGCCGAAGGTAATCCGTTAACCGGACCGGTTATTCCGGATTTTTTGAAAAATTAACCATCGGATTTTTTAAGGCTTTTTTAACTGACCATTTAACCGATCCGTTGTCCGGATTGATGGTTTTTTACGGTTAAAATCGGACCGTGAACACCCCTAGTTTGAGCACTCGTATAATTTTTTATATTTTATCTTTCGTTTTAAAAATATAACGAAAATAGATTTTGATTTTTAGACATGAAATGTACGAATCATTTATTTATTTAAAAAAAATATGTGGCAAAAAATAAAAAATAAAAGTTGTGGAAAAAAATAAAACGGCCGGACTCTGAGAATCCGTGTTTCAAGGAAAAACGGATTCTCAGAATCCGTTTTTCGTTAATTCCGATCGAAAAACAGATTTCGAGAATCCGTTTTTCCTTAATGACGTGATTACCCTTAATTAATTCAGTTAAAAACGTGTTATTAAAATCCGTGTTCCGAAAACGGATTGAGATAATCCGTTTTACCCATGAACACGGATTTTCATAATCCGTTTTTATTTATTTATTTATTTATTTATTGTTAGAATCCGTTTTTATGTATTTAATTTTTTTTTTAATTTTTTTTAAGTTAGGCTCGACTCCACGAACTCGTTTACCAGCAATCGCGTTTATTTTAGCTGAACTTCAATATGAAGATTTTTTATAAATTTTGATTCAACATTTTGAACACGAAATAATATCACTTTAATATCAATTCATTCGTCAAATGATAAAATCTAGCATGCATACATACATGAAACACTATATACAAAATGACAACCATAATTACCGACAAAAAAAAAAAGTGAACCACAAAATATGTACTCAAAACCATCAAGAATAAATATCTGAAAATCCAGTACAAAAAAAAAAAGAAAAAAAAGAGAAAATGTCCACAAAATCACAGAATACAAAAACAAACTAACTAGGAGTAAATGTTTTCCTAGGCACGCGTCTTCGGGACCCTCTCCGAGGCCCCGGTACCAAAGAAGACGATCCTGCGGTCGGTCCAGGCGTGGCTGGTTCTTCTTCTTCTTGTCTACCTAATTAATTAATTTTTGTAAAAAATCAATAATTCGACCGGACAAATAAATAAAAACAAACAAAAAAAAAAATATATTTGTAGTTAAATAAAAAAATCTCACCTTCTTCGTCTTCTTCATTCCCGGCGGGTTCGCGGTCACGGCGTCTTCTCCCTCCACCAATGTGGGGCGCCGGTCTATGCCTCGCCCGCTGAGACTGTGTATGTTGGGGTGGGACGTACTCCTCTTGAGATAGAATTTGCTCCGACGACGCCCCTTGTGTGACCGACTGACCCCCAACAGTTAGAGAAGCGTACAGAAGTTCCTGGGCTTGCTGGAACTGTGATTGCGCTCGGGGAGGTAGCGTATCAATGTCTTCAATGTTCGATAACATGTTATACGCCCCCTCCGTACCCGAATTCTGCAAAATAAAATTCAAATAACAATCAAATATTAAAAATAATAATAATAATAATAATTACTTCAATAATAATAATAATATAATAATAATAATAATAAAAATCACAAATTAGCAGACACTTATCTGACACTTCTCCCGGTCGGCATATGGCTGAAACCCGCCGTCCTGTGAGATCGTCGCGTAGTTGTTGGGGTCATTGAATAGTCTCACAGTCCTACTGTGATACCAATCAATGTACCCCTCTGCCGGCTGCAGGAAGGGATCCACCGGGACATCTGGGAGGACGTTCTGATCTCTCTCTTCGGTTCAGATCCTCCCAAGATCAGCATGGAAGGCCCGCCAATCGGTGTATGCCTCCCAGTCATGCCTTGGCCTTTGTGGCGGGTGTCCCAGTCGGCCAGACTAGTAATGATCGACGTCTGGGGGATGGGCTGGTGGCACCGGAACTGGCGGAGCACCCTATCAGGCTGGTGGGGTTCTGCGATGTTCTAGCAGAAGATCCACCCCTTGTACATCCAGAGATGTCGGTCTCGTGTACACTCGTCCGGGAGCCGACCCTCGTCTATGTACGTCTGATAGGGTATCCAATCGAACTGTAAAAAAAAACATTTATAGAATTATTAATGAATTTAATAAAAAAATAGAATTAAAAAAATAATAATTATTTATTATTATGACCTAAGAAACTTACATCAGTCTCTATGAGGTCACTCAGCTGATCTCGGATGGTAGTCGTGCCCGTCCCCAGGTGCCTCATGTCCCTCGATCCCACCCACCTTAAAAATCACAGAAAAAACTATATGTAATTACAAATTTTGATAATTGAAATAACTTAAGTGTTGAATATGAATAAAGGTTATTATTACCTTGCACCAAGGGACAACCAGCCTGAGAGCCGAAATGTGTTTTTCTCATTAATGGGCAAACACGAGGGATGCGTTCCCATGCCCAAACCTGCACATATGGACATATACATTTTTTAGCACATATTATTGTAATTTACAATAAATAAAATTAATTTGCAATTAAGAAGTAAATAAATTTACCTGAATCAACTGCACGCAGCTCTTGATATATTTTTCCTCCCTCTCGTAGGCGTCGCAGAGTGCTCTATATACCCCGGCCAGAAGCGCTCCACCCCAGTTGTACCCTGGAATGGCATCGATGACATTCAACAGGGACAACCAGTAGAGGTTGACTCCGTTGGCCCGATGGTCGGGGAAGAAGAAGGACCCAATACACCAGAGTATCAGGGCTCTCACCCTCTTCTCGTACTCTGATGTAGGGAGTCCATCCTCCAGAGGTCGCTTGCACTCCTCTTCCAGACTACTGAAATACAGGTACTGGTCATTTATGTCCTAAGTCTTGGGGTCGTAGTCCTGGTCCCCGTGATCCTTAAAATACGTTTATATATATATTAAAAATGACCCATGACTTAAGTATACATAAACACAATAATAAAAAAAATAAAAATAAACAAATAAAAGTTTTAGGTAAAAATATACCTGTACATATAGGAGGTACCCTAGAGCATCCACGCAATGAACTCTCCACTCTTGGGGAGTCCGCTGTACGGTATGTCCCCAGCACGGTTCCCCGCTGACGGGAAGGCCAAAGACTATCTCAACGTCCTGGAGAGTGATCGTGGCCTCCCTAAAGTCGAAGTGGAAGGTGTGCGTCTCCGGACGCCACCTCTCCAGCAGGCATGTAATGAGGGGATTGTTTGTCGGGACCCGCCCCATCCGAAATAAAGGTCCGAATCCGGCCTTGTCGATCACCTCCCATGTCCGGGCATTCTGCTTGTTGCCCTCCAAGGCAGCCCAGAACTGGGTGTCCGCACGGCGTGGCTTAACCACGCCGTGGCGA